GCTCAGTCTTGGCTCAAAGTATCTGTGAGCTTCTCAAATCAGTTTTTCTTCTTTTTTGGATAGAAATCAAATAAAATTTCCATTTTTATTTCATAAGATGTCTGCTATTTAGAATACGAGGTCATAATGGGTACAGAAGTAGTCCGTGTAACTTCATAGATCTATTTTCAAGAACATTTACTGATTGAATAAGGCCCATATTTATAAAGAGACCACAACTTTTTGGGTTCTTGACATGATATACTACAATTTAAAAGTAGTTTTTACCTTTTTTGAAAGTCATATACTAATATCCTAATATGTAATGGCCTTGCTACTATCACTCAAACCAGTGTTTCTCAACCATGTTCTTAGAGGACCACCAGCTTTGCACGTTTCCCATGTCTCCTTAACCAAACACACCTGATTCAGATCATCAGCTCATCAGCAGAGACTGAAAGACATAACATGACTGTAACATGGGGGACAGACAAAGGAGATATCCAAAACATGGAGTGTTGGTGCTCCTCCAGGAACGTGTTTGAGAAACACTGCCTTCACTTTTTATTGAGTGAAAATTATATAAAATATAACTATCAATTTACAACCTGTACATTTCAATATGTGGAAGTTAGAATAAGTGTGTTTAATTTTACATATAAATAGCTCAATGGTGATTGAACATTACTTAAAATATGGACAAACCATTGGGTTAAAACATTGCCATTATCATTTTTAGATTTATTCATGTTTTTAAGCCAATAGTGTTGGGTTTGTCCACAGTTTACCCAAAATTTTACCCAAATAACCCAACCTTTTTTATTGTACATCTGTAATGGCCATTAAAAATGTTGTGATTAAACAATAATTACCTAAGAATTGTTTTATTTGAATTTAAATAACTAAAATGGTTTTAAGAATGGTTTAATTCATGGGATATTTATTTATTTATTTATTTAGTAAATACGACCTTAAAAATATATTATTTCAACCCAATATTAAGTAAAATATGGCCAAAATCAGCCACTTGTTTTTTTTTTTTTTTTATTATTATTATTATTATTATTATTATTATTATTATTATTATTGTTAAATTTAAAGGACCAAATGTAACCCAGAGTTTGGGTTTGTCCATGTTTCACCCAATTTAGATAAAAATAACCGGGCATTTAGTAGAATGCATATTTTCCTCACCAGCCAATTTTGACATGGCAACCCTACATATAGAGTCTGACTAATTCATGAGTTGTTTGACTAAACCAGGGACCCTCAGGAGTGCAAATGGAGGCCTGTGCTCGTCTAGGAAGCGGGTGCTTGTGGTTTAGTGGCTTTAAGATGCTTACATGTGTAGTTCTCATCACTGGAGTGCCCTTAACCATTAGTGGCAAGTACCCTAATGGGACCACGGGGACTGTCCACGCTTCTGCAAAGTCAAATCCATTCAGCACAGCCTGCATTGCTTTTCTGTCCACTTCCCACTACACATCCTCACAGATTCAGTCTAATTTCCTAGGACCTTTCCAAATGTGCTTAAACAAATCTTGTTTACCAAACATGATACAGAACATACAGTTGAAGTCAAATTTATTAGCCCTCCAGCAAATTTTTCTTTTTCAAATATTTCCGAAATTATATTTAACAGAGCAAGGAATTTTTCACAGTATTTCCTATAATATGTTTTCTTCTGGAGAAAGTCTAGTTTGTTTTATTTTGGCTAGAATAAAAGCAGTTTTTAATTTTTAAAACCATTTTAAGGTCAATATTATTATCCCTGTCGTCATAAACAAAAATATAAGGACTCAGTTATTAGAAATAAGTTATTAAAACTATTATGTTTAGAAATGTGTTGAAAAAAATCGTGTTTCCGTTAGAAAGAAATTGGGGAGGGAAATATACAGGAGGGCTAATAACTCTGACTTCAACTGCATACTTTTAAGGGGGTCTATAAATGGACATACCGATGTCCACGTATTCACATGCATGTGTGCGGTTCTTGACCTTCCTGCTTCCGCGCAGCTTAAGACTCAAGATTTCAGACGTCTCAATTCCCAGAGCGAAAGCCGCACTCGAGTTAATTGCAGTCTGCACAGGATATGATAGCTGCGATTTTGCCCTGTCCTCTCTCAGGAAGCTCATCAGCGCGTGAGCCGCTCGACTCAGCCAGCCGAGTCCGAAATGCATTCAACATGTAATCTCCTCTCTGCAGAACACAAGCAAACCTACAGCCTGAGACAATGCAGCGCAGATAACGCAGCGCCAGTCACACAGAGATGCCGCTTTCGCACGATTCGCCTGTATTACGGTCCTTCAGAATTACATTACTGAACTTCATAATTGAGAGACTCTTGCATTTTCGGCGCATGACATCCAGCGTTTCAACAGCTTTGTTTTAAGAGAATAAAGTGGCAAATTCACAACAGTCTTTTGCTCATGGTATTTTAGCACACGTCTTGTACTCTTAACGATTCACTTCGCAATCCAGTTTAACCAATGATAAAAGGACATAACCTCGATCAGTTTTGGCGATGCAAAAAATTTATATCGCCCATGCTTAAAAACCAATTCCAGCAACATTTTAGCTGATTGCACAACCTCTCTATCTCTATTGAAGGTGTCAGTGTGGTTAAAAAACACTATAGGATTTACTAGAAATTACTTTAGTATATTTTCATGTGGGTGCCTGAAAGTTGAAAATAGATCTGATAGCAGATATCGCAGCCTCTGTTGCTTTTTACTTTGCACTTATTTGTTAACATTTATTATTATTTATTTAGGATATGCGTTTTCACATTCTGATTCCAATGCCTGATTACTAAATTGTTAAAATGACTATAATTAAATGAAATATTCTTAAGAATAAAATATGACGTGTTCTTTAGAAGAGGGTACAGTATTGTGATGACATTATATTGTCATGCTGGCATTATATAATGATGAGTAGCATTAAATGGTTTTAAATGACATCAATATTGTTTATCGCAATATATTTGGGTGCAATATATCATACAACAAAAATATATATTGTGACAGGCCGAAGGTTTAGGCTATTTATACAGTGTCCAAAATAATGGTTAGTGTAAACACACCATTCTATGTTAATTTAATTTATTATTGCTTGCTTTAGAGAAAATATCAGGCTGCGTCCGAAACCGCCTACTACTCAGTAGGTACTGCATTTGAATTTAAACGTAATACTCGGCCGTTAGAAAAGTACGTTCTATACAGTATGAATGTGAAAAGTATGAATGGAATTCGGACGTACTACATCCGCCATTTTGTCATGGTCACGTGACCCACTTGCGTCAATTGCATCGCTTCTCTCCGATTCATGAATTCTCTCGCAAAGCATCATGGAATAGCGCAGCATGCATGGGATGCGCACTTCAGAATTTCGCTGGAAGTAGTAAGTCATCCGGGTACTTCTCGCATACTGATTTTCGCGTTCTATAAATTCGGACATTCTACTCAGCTCACATACTGATTTTAGCATACTATATAGCATGGAAGTATGCGTTTTCGGATGCCACCTTAGTGTTTTGCCTAGTCTAAATAGAATCAAATCATGATTTATTTTTTATTTTTTTGTAAAGTGAAGTTTTACAAACTAATTTCGAGAGGAGCATGTGATATGATTGATCGCGGCTGGTCTCGCATCTGTAATCATTAGTAAGTCAATCGGATCATTCCAAAGCGATTTCTTACCCCCTTACATGCTCATTGCTCAATTATCTCCAATCTCAGGGTTCTCTCCCGGGACAGCATGCCAAACCTGCTATAATTATCAAGCGATATCTAAGTGTAAACTTTTGAAATAGCTTCCAAACCTACTTTAAATGTCATTAGTCATACAAGAAGTTAAAAGTTTTAGACTTTCAGACTGGATGCATTTTGCCAAAAATTAAACATTTTGCATATATTTGGCAGACTGTTGTTTCCAAAGCCACTTTTATTTTATTGGTAAAGAAATAAATTATAAAAAGAAATAAAATAAAAAGTTTTTTTAGCCAAGAAGGAAAATTTGAGATTCCCTTTGCCAAAAAAAAACTTAAATTTAATTCAAGAAATAAGCGAGGATTGAATGGTATTGTTTATTTTTTTGTTGCAGAAAACACTCTAACAGTACTCAGTGCTTAATTTGTAAATTGCGAGGTCCTGGAGTAGATAGGGATAACAAATTCGCTATGTTACCCGAGGAGGTAAAGGTGTCACGGGTGAAAGTGGAGAGGTGGGGGGGTCGCTGATGAAATGGAGATGTCGCGAATGGAATTAAGAGGGTTGGGGAGTCATGGAAGAAAGTGTGTGTGTGAATTTTATAATAACTTGAGTTTTATAATAAATGTCATAATAAAATTAAATAATAACTTGTTAGTCCTTTTGATCCCAAAAGTAATTTCAGTAGCCAAAACGTTTTTGCATCCTTAAAACAAACATATTCAATTTATAAGTTCACTAATTTTCTTGCCCATCCTAAATTACTAGAACTACTATAAATGTTTCATTCTGATTTGTTTCAGTGTGTATTTAAATGTTTGTATATCTGTGTAATAAATTGATATTTAAACATCCCTATTAAATGTTTTTATATTAGCATTAAATTACATTTTTTTCATAGTGATTTTAAATACTTTAATAATAAAAACATTACCTATCATTTTTCCAGGTCCAGGTTACAACTGAGAGTACTTTTATCATTTTAAAGTAGATGAAATTGAGTTCAACACTAATTTTTGGATGAGTTTGTGCTGTTACCCGATTTCCATAATTATTTATTTAGTGTAATTCATTTAGAGTAAGTGGCTCAAAAACAAATAAATAATGTATGCAAATGAACAACCCTATCCGCAGGTGCAATTTATTCTCTCCCAAAAGTGAAATATTCCTACATCAAGATAAAAACCCCAGCACTTAATCTCTTTTCTGAGAAGAGACGTTCGCTTGAATAGCACTGAGATTTGCGAGTATCAAAGATTCCTCATTTTCACTGGTATCTACATTTCTTTTCTCTCTTCCTATCTCTACAGGTTTCATAAATCGGTGGAGATCCAGAGATAGCTAGACTATGCCTCAGTTCACCTTTGCCTGCTTCTGTGGCCTTCATGGCCTCTGTGGAAGGAAAAAGAAGAAAAAGGAGGAAGAGGAACGACCACAGCAGGACTATGAGACTGAGGTTTGAGACGATGCCTGGACTGGGAAGAATCGCACGGTTTTAGTAGCTTACAAAGGGGAAAAGATGCAAGACGTGACCTCAGTATTGGCTCAGATCTCAGGGCTGAGCAATAGAGGCCATATCAGGACCCTGTTCATGATTTTAATGTACTTACCTATAAGACGATCGGTTTGTTTTTGTTACACTTTCAATCCGAGGTGCAGGGAAGTACTGGTGCACTTTAAAAATGTACTTTCACATTTAGCAGTCCCAAAACATATTTCAACCCTTTTAAAGTGTCTGAATGCCATTAGAAAACATATATCAAGTGGCATTTATTAAAAAAAAAAAACTATATATTAAGTGGCCTTAGCTAATATGTACTTACACTGAAATTACTAATTTGTTACAATGTAGTTATTGTGTAAATACATGTTTTTACATTGTACTTATGCTTAATTAAATATCTGTTGAGCATCCCTTAAACCTTAACCCAACCTTAAACCTACCCATACCGCAAAACCTGTCCCTAATCCAACATGTACCCTCCTCAAGAGCACCGGAAGTGTTCTGCAATACATTATGAACACCGTAAGTACATCGTATTTATATTTTAATGCAAGTACAAAGTAGTTAAGGCCACTTAATATAAAGCTGTGCTCAAAAATATAGATAAAAGTATATAAAAATGATCAATATAGTTAATATGAGATCATACATCAACTAAAGATCACTCAAAAAAGCAGTGTTTGTTCAGTCAAAGTCAGCTGATTGTTTATACAATTTAATTCTTGAATTGAACATAATCAAATATTGTTATCTTATGCATTTTTTTTTCAAGTGAAAACAAATGCATCCGAATAAGTGGATGAGTTCATTTTGGTGCTGCTAAATAATTTTAGATATCAAAGCTTCATGATTAAGACTCAAATGAATGCATATTCTATTGCAAGCATCCTCCTCAACATGTGCTCAATGTTGACTCTTGATTACCATTTAACAATATTTACTTATTCAATGCAAATACGTCTGGAAGCAGCGAGACACTTTTAGTCTGCTCATTCCAATATTCAGGAAAAAGTCTTTAGATGTGCAGTAATGTAATGGATATATTTTTGTTGAACGCAATTTTGTGTTTATTATAGCGGCTTTAGAAGCAATGACTAACTCTAATTATAGTTTACTGTGGAAAATTGATTATTTGGGCAAACAGGGGTCTAGAGCACCTAGATATGGTGCCTTTATCTTTACCAGTTTGCCTATTTACTGCCTTCAAGGTAATTAAGGACCCCCGGAGAGATCCAAGCGGTCCATTCGCAAATGCCGCCTCGGTAAAGGATGGCTACCATCTGTCATTTCTCAATAACATTTCAAATCTGGCCCCGGGCAAGTTTCACCTGACTTCCCCTCAATTATTGTGCGGAACTTGGAGGAGACGCGTCATGAATTTGAATGAAACGTCTGGGTGTCGTTTGTGTGTCCTAGGGAGAAGTGAGCCTGGAAAGTGTTCACGACACTACATCAAAGCATGTAATCAGCCAGAGAGAGGCTTATTCACGCTGTGAATTGGACCTCACCAATCATACCACACCAGAACTGGCTGGCACAGCCGTGATAGTTGTGGCCGTGAAACGTTTTCCAATAAGAAAAAAAACAAAAAACGATTTGGCCGTCTCAGGTTGTTTCAGGTTGTTCACATGGACTGTCCTCCCTCAAGGCACAAGCTTTGCTGTAGGGTGATAAATAGGAAGTTTATTTCCAGATACATTTCCGGCGCTCTTTTTCCTCTCAAAGATTAATGCCTTCGAATAGGAGTAATTTACTATGATTTACTTGGCCGTGCAACACAAATGTCGGCCCATAACTTCAGCAGGAGCCATTTTCTCTGGCCGTCCCCCTCTGCCGAGCGCAGATCCATAATTGTCACTATTTTTAGTACATTTATGCGCGTGTACCCCCAAGCCTGTGTGAATAACCATCAGATCTGCATTAATATATTCAATTAAAGTGGAATTAAAAAAAACTCACCATGGCAACTGGTCTGACCAAAACTTTGGCCTTTGGGTGTGAGGTTTGAATGGGTTTGAAAATAGCAGTAATTGTGGTGGTAAATGGCAGGCCTCATTAGCGGAGGTGATTATGCAGTTCATGCACGCGCGGATGGGGCGACGCAATTAATCTTTCTCAACAGGAAGCAGTCCAGGATGACGGATGCCCTAAATCTGATGTCACCGAAACAAAAGGCGGAAAAAAAAAAAAAGTCGGAGACTAAAACTTTGGCTAATCGCCTTAAAGCAAAGGCTTATGAAAACAATTTTAGCTTAGCTTTGTTTTTATTACGGGGGGGAATCTTTAATCAGCTTTTTTCCTGTATTCACTAGTTAAGAACTCGGAGGCTGTATTTATGTCAGAAATGGCTTTAATTCTGATTGCGTTTTACTTTCTTTTAGAAATTTCTTTTGACCCCCGGAGTCATGCTTAAAAAGCCGGTGAGTCGAATTTCACATCTATTAGGCGAACATCTCGAACGAGTGCAGGCCGAATCGATTTCGCGGAGGTGAGTGTCTGTTTATCGCTGCCACGGATCTGCTCTGTCTGTGGGTGGACCTGGTTTAATGAGCAAGAGATCCAAATGACCTCAAATTATTATCTGCAGTCATGCTAATTGGCCGCGTGTCTCTCACCGCCTCTGATAGCATCTCTCTTAAATCGCATGTCGTGAGAAAGGTTTGCTCCTGCAGATTTCGTCCGGTTTTGAACTGGCTTTTTATTAACTCCTGTCAGCGGGCGAAATTTAATTACGACCTCGACGTTTTTGTAGAAAAAAAGAAGAAAGAACAAGCACGATGTTGGTAGAGATTAAAGGAATAGACATGCAAAGTGAGAATTTTGTCATGAAAATTGAATAAAAATTACTCTGTAGAGCACAAATGGAGATTTTTTTCAAACTTCTTGTTTCCCATGCAATCAAATTGGGTGATGGTTAATGATTTTTTACTAGCAAACATCCAAAAATTATAATATTATCATTATACAGATAATGATTTATTTAAAGATGTTCCCCTCCAAATTAAATTGGCATGTTTTTAATTAACATCTTAGAAAGGCTGTATCCAAAGGCACCACTTTTTAATTAAACAAGTGCAACTGAGATTTGAAGTCAATGTTCCTTACTCAAACCTCAATTATGACTTAAGAATTGTATTCTGAAATGTATATATGGCTTACATTATGATTTTTAACTGCAAACCTACTTATCTTAGTCTCTACCTTTTAAAATATCTAAAGATCATTTAAATATAATGAATGTTGAGAAGCGACACTACTTGTGAGATTAAAAAAAAAGTTATCAGTGTATTTTATTCACTTGCAAATGTATGTGTCACCAGTGTTAGGGGTCATGCATTACAAGTAACGCAATAATAATATTATTTTTTTAGTAACGAGTACAGTAACGCATTAGTAATAATAACTAATAAGTAATAATGTGTAAGTTTAAGTTTGTTAAAAAGTTTAACTTTTTTAAAAATGTAATGTGGGTTACTTTTTAGTTTAATTAGCTTTTAGAAATAAATTGCTGAATTAATATTAGTCACAATGAATCACATAGTCATTGAGAGAATGTGTTCGCATCGAAGAAAAGGAAAAAGGGATTGACTCATTGGACAGTGATTTTACAAATATTAAAGTAGCAAACACGATGCTTTCAACTTTTAATAATCTGTATATATGGCATGTAGAGTTCTGGGGTCAGGAAGTTCTCAGATAACAATATCCTATTATTTTTTTATGTGTTTTTTAAAAGATAATTAAGGTGTAGTTTATACAGTGGGTTGTTAATTGCAGAGCTTCTCTATTAAAATATATATATACTTTTTAAAGTTCTGAAAGAGATCAAGCTTTAGACACATAATAAAAAGAGATCGCAAAAGTAACTCAAAAGTAACATAATGCATTACTTACTATAAAAAGTAACTAACTAGTTACATTTTTAGGGAGCAACTCATTGTAATGTATTACTTTCAAAAGTAACTTTAACCAACAGTGTGTGTCACTGTGTGCAGTAAAACAGAATAGATTTATTTTCATATGAATCAAAATATAAACAAATATAATTATATTATGCACTGAATAACAATTTGTACTAAAATTAAAAATACTTTTTCTGTCATATTTTAAAAAAATATGTATTTTTCACATCAAGAGAAAGAAGCATCTCAGCCAAATACTATCCTAAAAACCCTACACCAATGGAAAGCTTTTTTTTTTTTTCAGATTTATTCATGATGTATAAATCTTGATTTCCAAAAATTGACACTTATGGATAGTTTTGTGGTCCAGAATCAAATATTGTATATTAAATAGACTGCAAGTTATTGTACACTTAAAAACAGATTATTTTTGCCATTTATGTTTTCATGAAGGACCTTTAACATCCATAGAACATTTCTGTTACACAAATGTTTCTTTATGTTTAATTATTGATTCTTTAGATTACTAAAAATGTTTTTATTCCTGACAACAACAAAAAATTAAACAACCATTGTCTTAAATAGTCTTTGAGCAACCTAAACCTTAATTATTAAGAGTGTAAATTAACGATAAAACTGTTTTTACTGTGTTTTTGATCAAATAAATGTACCTGTGGTGACCTGTAGAAAAATCTGCTGTGAAACAGAATATATTTATGTTCAAATAAATTAAAATGTAAACAAATATAATTATATTATGCACTGAAAACAAGTTCTACAAAAATTAGAAACACTTTTTCTGTTGTATTTAAATTTTCTTTTTTATTTTTTGTTCACACCAGGAAAAATAAATTGTTAGGAACTGCTTACCAAAACATTCTTTAGGATGCCAAAAGTTAATTTATTTTTTATTTTTAAAAAGAAAAAAAAAATTTTTGTTTTTTTTTTAGAAAGAAAAACATTGTTTTTTTTTTGGTTTGGTTTTTTTGGGGGGGTTTTTTTAGAAAGAAAGAAAAACATTGTGCAATTTGGACATCTTTTAAGACAGTTTTCTCAGTATGTTTATATATATTTTGGATTTCAGATTTTTTAAATAGAATTTTTAAATAGAAGTATCTCGACCAAATACTATCCTATCCTAAAAACCATACACCAATGGAAAGGAAATTTATTCATGATGTATAAATCTTAAATTTCAAAAATTGACACTTATGACTAGATAAATAAATCAAAATGCAAACAAATTTAATTATATTACGCACTGAAAAATAAGTCGTACTAAAATTAGAAACAATTTTTTTCTATCGAATTTTAACTTTAATGTATTTTTCACACCAAGAGAAAGAAAAAAAAAATTAGGATCTGCTTCCCAAAACAATCTTTAGAACGCCAAAAGTTTCTTCTATGGTATTGCTAATTAAAAAATGACCTTCTGGAACATTTCTTTTGAAGATAGTTGTATGAAAATTGGAACCTCAAACAATTCTAGCATCTCCTTTTCTGTTTTGCAGAATAAAAAGTAATAATAGACGACTGGAATGACATGAGGGTGAATAAATGATGACAAAGTTTTCATATCAGGCCATCTATTCCTTTATGGGCTTCTTTCTTTATTGAAGATGAGATCGCCATCGGGCCGAAACGAAGCGTCTCATGCTTCATTTCTCAACCACACCATGAAAACTTTC